GATGGGAAGTGTCTAATCTACCGGAAAGTTCACGGAAGTCATCCAAGGTAAATCACAACCCATACATTCATCAAGATCAGTGAAAACTCAAAATTTGAAAGCATCTAATCAAGGGGAAACATCACGAAAGTTTAACAAGGTCAATCGCAACAAGTACAGCCACCCAGAACAGTGAAAACTCAGGATTGGAAGCATCTACACAAGGGGACACATCACGGAAGTATCACCAAGTGAATCGCAATATGTACAAGCCCCTACGTCAGTGAAAATTCAAGATTGGTAGCCTCTACTCCAGGGGAAACATCACAGGAGTATCACCAAGTGAATCGCAACATGTACAAGCACCTACAAGAGTGAAAATTCAAGGTTGATAGCATCTACCCAAGGCGAAACTTCATGGAAGTATCACAAGGGGAATCGCAACATGTGCAAGCACCAAAAACAGTAAAAACTCAAGGTTGGTAGCATCTACTCAAGGGGAAACTTCATGGAAGTATCACAAGGGGAATCGCAACATGTGCAAGCACCGAAAAACAGTGAAAACTCAAAGTTGGTAGCATCTACTCAAGGGAAAACATCACGAAAGTATCACCAAGTAAATCGCAACATGTACATGCACCTACATCAGTGAAAATTCAAGATTTGAAACCTCTACTCAAGGGAAAACATCATGGAAGTATCACCAAGTGAACCGCAATATGCACAAGCACCAAAAACAGTGAAAAGTCAAGATTGGAAGCCCAAGTGAATCGCAACACGTACAAGCACCAAAAACAGTGAAAACTCAAGATTGGTAGCATCTACTCAAGGGAAAACATCACGGAAGTATCACCAAGTGAATCGCAACATGTACAAGCACCTACAATAGTGAAAATTCAAGATTGATATTAACTACCCAAGGGGAAACTTCACGGAAGTATCACAAGGGGAATCGCAACATGTGCAAGCACCAAAAACGGTGAAAACTCAAGGTTGGTAGCATCTACTCAAGGGGAAACTTCACGGAAGTATCACCAAGTGAATCGCAACATGTACATGCACCTACATCAGTGAAAATTCAAGATTGGTAGCATCTACTCCAGGGGAAACATCAC